CAGGCGATTTTCCTCAAGTTTCCTTTTTCTCACTTTATTTTAAGGAGGATGCAGTAAGCATCTTAGGAGAAGCAAGAGAGTAGATACTGAGAAGAGATGTCATTTCAAACAGCTACCATTCTCTCCACATACATGGCTTTTCTTGCTCTAGGAATCTAGGAGAGTAAGGCTCAGGTGAGCATCAGCCTCTCAATCTCTCTAATTCTGTGACCATAATTCTAGTTTTCCCATGTTCTTCCATCTTATATCAAAACTTAGACATTACATCGTTGTCAGGATTCTGTACCCACAGGAATCAATCTCCCTTACTGTTTGGGTTGTTTCAAACCAAAGTTCTAATCAGTCTAGTAGGGTCTGGAATTACATTTACCGCAATTACCATTTATCTTTTTTTGACTAGCCTATGCATTCTGCAATAATTGACAACTTCTTACAGATATCATTTAAGCATAGGAATAAAATATTACTTTGGCCAAAATTTTATGATTAAAGAGTTTTTACATATTTCATTTATCAAGGCAATCACATGCCTTCAGCACATATTGGGACATAAGCTCAACTCAGACCTCTCAAGTGGAACTTTTAAATACAATCCATTGCTAAAGATGCTGGAAAAAATAGTCAGTTCTCTGTACCATTCCAGCAAGTACCTGATACCTCCTGCCATCCTCTACCTTTACAAGAGACAGATCTGGCCGGAAATAGAGTATCGCTGCCATATGTGGATAGGAACTGCCCAATCTTCACTTCCCAGTTTCAATAGAGCCCTAAAGCATCTCTACATCCTTGTGGGTGATGAATTATTTTCCAACCTACAATCTGTTTCCATCAGATGAAATGTTGCCAGCTCCTTGCTACATTGTTGGTATTACCATGGAAAGTGTTCAGGCAAACTGCATTCCTTCGTTCCACCAGTTCCCAACTTCATGGCTAAAACCTGCCATGCCATGTACTTTGTATTCCATTCCACTTAAACAACTTCTTCCCACAAACCACAGCTTTGCAGAACTTGCAAGAGGATGCTTTCCTGATCACTACAATCCTAAGCTGTTCAAGTCTAGAGTTAACTGTTATCTTCCCCACATATACCTATAAACTGCATCTCTAACTCTGTAACCTTTTATCTTGAGTGGCTTTTGGGCCTTGTACAGGTTGAACATTATTGTAAGAAAAAAAAAAAAAAATCAACCATTTGAATTAAAGTTTCCCTTACTGCATTGTTATAGCATTGTTGCCTGGTTGTGCTGGCCTATTTTGGAAAAAATAGAAAATTGCCATTAACTTGAAATAAAAGACTGTAAGGACACTGAAGGCAATTTCTTGAATATCTTCAAACTCCCATGATGTCTTGGGAAAGGTAGTGGAGTAGTTTCCCCCATTTCCCCCCTCTACAGTTTGGACTTCATAGTAGTCAGTCTAGACTGGTTGTCACCCAAGGCAAGAGAACCCAGGTTAATCTACTATTTAAACCACATGTACTGCAGCCATAGCAGCAGCAGTGGCGTGTCTAGGGCAAGATAGCCTGCTCAAGCCCATCCCACCTTCAGGCTGGTTTTGAATGCAAAGTTTTTTTTTTCTCCTATACTGGTTGCTACCTCAAGGCAAGGAAGATAGTTACTATTTAACCCATAGCTGGAGGGAGAGGAAAAATGGATTCATAGCTTTCCCAAGGGTATTTGTACAAAAGTGAATGTAACAAACTTTGCTGAAACCTCAATGATGTCTCGTTCCAAGTCACTAAACATTAAACATCCTATAAATACAAGGTAAATAAAAATAAAATAAAAAATTAAAAGAATTGATGACGGAGCCTGATCAGAAGTTAATATTTCAAATGACAATATAAAGCTGTCACCTGGTGAAAGCCTTATATATAAAAACCTGGATTGATCACTGAATGTAAAATTTACCTTACAAAGATAATCAATCAAAGCTTACAATGAATGTAAAATCTGAAAATTCTCACAAAAATGAAACGCTTACAAGAAAAAAGGCAAAGAGATGAATGGGTAGAAAACTATGATTGATTTAAATAAACAACAATATAATCGAAATCTACATAAAAACAAAAGAAAAGATGATTGTCTGCATGTGATTTTGCAAACATGCATATGTAACATATATGTCTATGTCTGTGTTGTGTATGAGTGACATTCATGTGCTTGTGTCATTTAATGTACACACAATTTGACCAAGTTTGAAATAAGCCAGTCCTCTTCAACTGTCTGGACCAGCCCTACCCTAGGCTGAGCAAATAAAATCAAAGTTGGAGAGAAGAAAAAAAAAACAACTTAATTTTTTAAACAAAAAAAAAATATATCAAATCATTAGATAATTACAAGATTTAATGAACTTCTCAGAAATGATTTTGTAATAAAAAAAATTATGCTTTTAAAGTTTTTATTTTTAAATTTTGTTGAAATATTTTAGGCACATGCAAACCTACAACTTGAATGATATTGAAATGGACATGTACACTGTGAGAGCTAACTTCACTTTCATTTAAAACAACAACTGATGAAATATAAGACATAACAGAACCAATTGAGTAGGATTAGATAGGAACAGAAAAAGAAACATTGATAACAGTGCAAATTACTGAGGTAACGGCATTACAATGCAAAAAATATAATTTCTTAACATGATTCCTGGAGAGAGCTGAAAATCATGGATAATGTTTACCTACATGTACAAGCAATAGAATCTTAAACTGAGATTGGAGGCAAATTAAAATAAAAGTGGGGAAAAAAAAAAAAAATCAAACAGTGCATGAACTTTAACAATGCTTAATGAAAATAAAGCCAAGAAAAAAAAAGGTGTTGTAGGAGGGGGTCAACGGAGAGTTGTTGCCACTTGAACCCAAAATATTCAAAATTTTCGTATTAATCAATAAAACAAATTAAAAAAAAACAATCAGGAAATTTGTTGAAGATTCATTTTCATATTTTGATAGAACTTGGAAAATTATTTTGAAGACACTCACTTCGCCAGTAATCTAACTTTATTTTAGTACTTTTTTAAGAAGGATTTCCTAATAAACTTCTTTTTTAGCCTCAAACAAAAAAAAAAAATGCTTCAAATAACGAATCCATTCACCCCACCCAAGTGTATCCGAACCACTTTTAGTATAACAACATTATTTTGTAATCTAATTACATTAACCTAACGGCACACCTTGTCGAAAAAAGGCGCGTGCGGAAATTAGAATTTTATTTTTTACCTGATTTTTTTTTTTTGGCGAGATGTAATTGTTGCTAATGGTGAAATTGAACTTATTTATTTACCTTTGCTGGAGCTGAAAGTTTGGAATTAAATAATAATTACAATTAAAAGAGATTTTATTTTACTTGCAAATGAACCCGGTCTAATAAACAAACAACAAAAAAAAGGCAATCGTGTTTTAAGTCGATAATAAATGCCCTTTGAAGAAATTACCCTTGTAGTTTTCTTGACCTATTCTTCTGTCTATATCAAACATTTTTTTTTAGAAATTCTAGTCTAAATACAGACTTCAATTTTTATTTATGCAACCAGCAAAAAAAAAAAAAAAAAATGAGAATGACAGATTTAAATTTTCTTTTAGTTGTGTGGGATCAAAATTAAAACCTTTTAAAAAGAAAGTATTGATGGCCATTTCTAATGGGGACCTGAGCCAACTATATGTGAGTGAAAAAAAAAATTAAAAATGCCTTCGGGCAAAATTAACGATAAGATTTTTTGAAAGTGAAAGTATCCAAATTTCTTAAGCTCCCACCAAAAAAAAAAGTTGCACATTTTTTTTTGTACAAAGTAAAAAATGCAATCATAAATTTATTGTTTTTTTTTTTTCTTTTCTTTTTTTGGGCGGGGTTATTGTTCAACATGAGGTCTTGCACTTGTTATTTCAAAATATGATGAGATGATTTTATTTTAAATAATCACAAAACGAAAAAAAAAAAAAATAGGCATACTATTTTTTTTTAGTCACATACGTATATCTCGTGAAATATTGACAGAAATAAATGTTAATCAAAGTTAGCAGTAGGATATTGTTTACTATGGATGTCTAGAAGCACAATAAACTTTCTTTTTTTTTTTTAATTAGCTTCCCGATTTGCTATTATTAGCAGTAATGAGGAGATGGAAAGTAGGGCACATTTTTTTCCAGTGCCTACAAAATATAACTGAGCAATAGACCTCTTTGCTCCTCAAGGGATACTGCACTATAACCTTGTGCCAGACTAAGCTAGTTTTTTTTTAGTAACAACAAAAAAAAATGTGCTGATTTTTGTTTGGAGATGCTAAGAAAAAGTTAAATTTTTGTTACTGTTACTTTTCAGAATTTTTTGTACATTTTTGAAAATATGTTTTCAATCATTGCTGGCGTTTTAAACTAAAAAAAAAAAAAAAAAATAGTCTCATGACGAGACAATCATTTGTTTTCCTTGTTTTTACTGACATTTTATAGGTATCCTTATTCTTTCTTTATAAATTGCACGCGACTTTATTTAGCTAAGAATGCAAAACTAAAAATGCACCATTTTTTGGTTTCTACTGAAAAAGGAAATGATACGAGACCCCAAAATGTATGACTTACTGCTTTTTAAACTTGCAATAAAAATATGCAATATTCTTTTGTAAACAAAAATAGCACTTTCTCTTTCAAGTCAATATCGAAACACCTCTGGAGAAAAATGGTTTTCCCTTTTTTAATTTAAATTAATTTAGCTGATTTCTTTTTTTAATAGAAAAATTCGATTATACTGACTTCCGATAATACTCGATCGAAAATATTTTTACAATCTTATTTTTCATTTAATAATTTTATCATCCGGCGTATTTCCGGATTAGTTGTTTCGATTTTCCATAGAATCCATGTAGTTAAAAAAAATCCGAAGTTATCCCGCTTTTATTCTTTAATTAAAGTGAGTCGATGACTAATTTTAATATAGGGAAAAAATATATATATATAATGGGAAGAAGAGGAATAAGATCACAGATTAAAAATACAAATAACCAACCTGCCCATTCACCAAGATAAGTAAGTCTGCTCATCCATCCCAAATTCCGTGAAAACAAAGATTGTGTAGCCAACGTTAAAACGGACGTCATAATACGGCACATGGCCAAAGCATAGATAATAAAACCTAAACAAGAGAAGTATTCGGTCGTTGGGCCGAGGTAATAGCGGATAAAATTAATGAATTCTTCATGCATTTTGAATTTTTGATTATTCTACTTCAGTTATTTTTACCCTCGTGAATTAAGAGTGTGTACTACTCAAGTTGATCTTCACCGCAGAGTCGCTTTTAGCCGTTTTACTGCAAGGTCAAGGTCGGTAAAGCAACAGTAGCGCCGCCTTGTGATTAAAATATTTCAACCACGTGTGTTGTGGCTTTTACGGAAAAAAAAAGTCGTGTAAGGAAAGTAATATTGTACGCTTTGTTAGGGTAAGAACATTATTTAATAGTCATAGAAAGTAAGTTAATTTCAGCTTGTGGGTTGGAAAAACACAAAGAAAATAAGTAATATCTTATTTAAAATTCGTAATATTTTTAATAAAATAAATAATATTTTAAATTTATTTAATATATCTTAATAACAAAAACATATTTAATTTTTATAACTCTGTAATATTCAAATAAACTAAATGTCAATTGTATAAATATTTAAAGTAATATTTTAATAAACATTATTTTTTAAATATTTGTTTGTTTTTTCTTTCTTTCTTCCTTCTTTTTTCGTTCTTGCATTTTTTTCCACTTGCCATGTCCTTTTAGGACGTAGATGATCATAACTCTACACAGATGCCTTTTTTTCCTTATCAATGAATTGCCAAACCCTTTCAGGAAAGAAAGACAGCAGAATGGTTTTGTTGGTGTTAGCTCCTCCTTAATTCCCTAATTGTTCACTAGGGGTCGCTCTCCCTACATTATAAATACTGGGCAATTTATTGCCTCGTTCACTTTTCTACTTTGCATCTCAACAAACACATTTAAAAATGTAATCTCACGGAAATCAGCGTTTTTGCCCATTTGTGGGAAAACGCCATGAAACACACATACACATACGTATGAACATTCACTAAAGAACAAACTTTTTACGTTCACACACAAACACAAATGTTAATGTCTTTGTCACTTGTGAATTTGCTGTTTAATAGATATATTTGTTAATATATATATCGGTCTTGTTTGTTTCCTTTACATCTTCAGTTGGACTCAACTTGAGTCCGCATTGTTCTTGTAGTTGGACCTTCTTCTAGCGGGAATAAACAGCAAATGTTTCTAATTCAACAACACTCAAACCCACACAGTCCTCTACAGTTTCATGTCACCTACTCCACAGTTAGAAATTCAGAGTTTTCCTTCTCATAGACTGGCTGCTATCTAAGGCTAAAGAGCTGTAACTATCCTGCTGTTTTGATAGTTGGGGAATAAGAGATGGATTCCTGTGTTGGGGATTAGTGAATGTATTTGGTTGAATCAGAAGGAATTTTTAGGTGGCATGTTTGTTAACATTCATCCACAACAAATAATAAACGAATGTTCAGAACAGGTCACGCAAAGCAGAGTTAAAAAACAAAGACAAGTAAAATGCACAACAATACGGTAATTTATATACAATTTAAATATATACAAATGAGTTATGAATTGGTGATTTGTTGTATATTGATGTAATAAGACATGTAGTTTGTTGTTGAGTATGTTTGAATGCTTAATTCAATGTTTTGATGATTTGTTGTAAGAATTAAACAGTTTGCTGTTCAACGTACAAAAGTGTTCGATTTTACAGTTCAAACGTTAGTGTGTGTATATGAGTGTTATGCAAAATATTAAGTTGTATGAAGTTGCGTACCTTGAACTGTTAATTGTTGAAATTTTTGTTTGTTGCTGTTACTAATATGTAGTGAATATATATTTCACTTTCTCAAGTAAAGTAAATGAATTTTTGAGAAGTTTGTTTAAAAGAGAGATTGAGTATGCCAAAAGGTTGTTGAGTCAGAGGTTAATTTGCGCAGGAAAGTCAAAGTTTGAACTGGCGTGAAATTGGTTGGCATCTCTCTGAGTGTGGAATTCTGAGTAGTAAGTTGATTCGAATTTCTTTCTTTTATAGGTTCTGGAAAGGAAAAATAGGTTCAAACACATTTGAGCACCAAGGGCATTTTTCACATGCATAATTAGTTTTTTAAGGCTGTTAGCCAATGAGAAATTGAGTTTGTCAGAACTAGTCTTTTGATTGGATAACAGGTATGTGGGTGTAAGAATGGATTGTTCTGCAAAGGGGTGAAAAGGTAACGTGGATTATTCCACACCTGTTTTTCTCAAAGGTACTTGTGCAACAGTGAACATATAGTGAGTGGCATGGGGCTTCAGGGTTAAAATGAACGATTGATTTTCCTATGCCAAGAAGCATAATGGAGGATGATAATGATGAGGAAAAAGTCAATCCAATAACTTAAACAAACACATATTCATCTTCTATATGTCATGCCCCTTCAGGACGTAGGCAATCATGGCTCTCTATGGATTCATATCCTTTGTAATTCTTAATAATGTCATTTTACTATCCTTCCTACTCCCTGTTCTGCTATCTATTTACCCAAGTTCTTATCATAGCACCCCTAATACTCTCATTCATGTTCATGGCAGACAAGTTATTACTTTGGGACCTTTGCTTTTTCTTCATCCAAATTTCAATCAACCTATTCTGTACACTGGGGTTAAATACTATGGAAGGTCCATTGTTTGACTTAACCAGCAATTACTGAATGCCAGCACCAGACATTTAAACTGAACTTTTTCCCTCTTTGGCTATATCTTCCAGGCTTCAACCAACCTATTCTGTACACATTAGGTTATAGGGTTCATTATTGGATTTAACCAGCAACTAGTCAACACTTTCACTGGACATTTAAATTCAACTTTCAAACTTTTAACTTACCTGGACACTACTTTTAGCATTAAATCACATTTATATTATCTTTGATCTTCTATCTGGTCAGTATTCCTCCATTTACTTAATTTTGCCTCCATTTACTTAATTTTGCCTCCATTTACTTGATTCATTGTTTGTCCATGTTTCTTTTCAGTTCATTAAACTGAAACAATATTTTTGTATATTTTGAAAATAAATTTTGTATTAATTTAAGTTTGTCACTTTGTTGTTCTCTTGTTAACCTGTCAGATTCACATCTTTTATTTTTAAATGTTTGTGGGCCTCCTGTGACTCATCTTTACTTGGGTGCACAGGCCATATCCTACAGATCCCTATAACACCTACAGGGGGTCTGCAACACTCTTTAGGTAGGTTAATTACTGTTTTTCTCCATCCCTCTTGCCTTCAGTATGCCCTGAATTTCTGGGACGAGGAGTTATCATTATTTACATATTTACAATCAAACTAATGTCCTAATCTTTGTTTTTATTATCACAACATTTCAGTCTTTATAACTTCCAGCCTTCTTCAGGTGTCTGTCAATCAGAGTAACTGTATCAGAATTTTGAAGTGAACCCCTTATTCAGCCCATAGGGATAATTATTGCTCATCCTGTTTCCACTGATTCTAAGTCTGTATGAACTGGCTTGGGGATTGAACTCACCATTACTATGTCAACAAATCCATGAACCAAGCTTTTACCATGGGACAATAGCCTAGAACTTGGATTAAAGAACTTGGAGCCTGAAACCTAATGTTCTTTCCTGTCTACTTTTGACCTTGCTGCTGTCACACTTCACTGCATTTGCCACCACTTCTTTTCTTACTTCTACTGTTACATCTCTTTTTTTATTTATTAATGCCTGCTATATGGTATTTATTTTTATGCTAGGCCTACTGCAGAGGCCCTTATAGGCTTGTATATGTGCTGACTCCTTTAGACATCTGATTCTCCAGTGTTCTTCTCTCTCTAGTAGAAATTTATGGTGAACTATTATTTATTTTGATCATCTTTTTTGCTATTTTATCATAAATCCCAGATCATCATTACACAGTTGCTAGTTACCAGTGAAGATTGGAATTAAAAGTGGAGACTTTTTATCCTTAGGAGCCTGTTTTTCATTGGCAGAACCATACTAATTCAATAATGAAAACCAACAAATAGGAATCATGCAAATTTAGCTGTATTCTTTACTTTGTCACATGAAGCATTGTCAGTTATTATTAATTCTATATTTCTTATGCTTATGGCCATACCACATTGAAACTGAATAGGATCACTGAAGTTAAACAACATTGAGCCTAGTCAGTCTCTAGATGGGTGACCGCTTAGGAATACCTGGTGCTGTAAGCTTGGATGTGTGGGTGGTGTAATGGATAATGTCTTGGAATTGTTAATCAGAGAACTGAATTCCAATTTGAGTTGGGTTCATTATATACATTTATATGCAAATACTCTTGGGAACAGTATGAATCTACCTTTTCTCCCCACCACCTCTAGAATTGGTCAGTATAAGTAGTACCCTACAACGTAACAACTACCCTGGGTACATGGCAGCAGCCCCCAAAAACTGGGATAGGTGGATACAAGAGGAGAACAACAACACTCAGAAAACAGTCTGCCTGCCTTATTTGAAGGGGTTATCAGATAAAATACAAAGGATCTGCAGTCCATATAACATCAAGACAACCTTCAAAAGCTTGATGACACTTCGCAGATATCTCTCCTGAGTAAGACCCCCACAGAGAAGAACATGACTAAAAATTGTGTGTACGCTATCCTGTGCAGCTGCAGAAAGAAATATAAAGGGGAGACAGGCTGCCCCCTTAAGGTAAGGCTTCAAGAACACCAGAAATCTGTAACACGAGGGGAAGTGGAAAAATCAGGCGTGGCTGATCACATATGGAGAGAGAAGGAAGATCACCACCCTCTGTGGGATCAGGTTGAGATCATAGACAAGGAATACTATTGGAAAATTTGTAAACTTAAGGAATCAGCACATGTGCTAGGCCACAAAAATCTCCTGAGCCAACCAAGCATAGAAAGGAATACAATATGGGAACCAGTAATAAGAAGTGCCAGAGAAAAGCAATAATAACAACAAAAGTTACAATATGAGCTCTGGTAAAAAAAAAATATACAATGATAACAGCAAAAAATTGCAATATGAGCACTGGTAAAAAATGGTTGCTGAAGACATTAGGTTTATAATACCCAGAAATTCATGCACAGATGTCCTCAAGGACACAGTGAATAAAAGTGTTGGTTAGATCCAGTG